ACACACACGCACACGCACACGCACACGCACACCGCACACGCACGCGCACTGTTACTTCTAGGATTCCCTTTCTCCCAGAAACCTTCTCAGCACTTTCCAAAGCTTGGCCTGTAAGGGTGGCTTTATTCTCTTCCCCTTTTCCTGCTGCCTCTCAAGGAAATAACTATAATGTCTCTCACTTCCCTAGAGCCTACTGCATATCTGTTCTAAGACCTCTTCCTCCTGGGGTGGGAAAGGTCTGGCAAGAGGAGAGTGAACCAATGAAGAACATACTATGAATATGCGTATTTTTTATAAACCCATCCCAAATGCATTTATACTACATGGGTCCCCTTGGGGACTTTTCGTTTGGAAGTCCTTACTGTGACCCAATTACCATTATTGTTCAGAGGTATTTTTTCCTTCAAGCCACATCTCCCGCTAGACCTAAGGGACCATTTTAGGGACTTTGAGAAAAGACATTCATTTTCCCTATTCTTAGAAACCACATCTGAGAGTCAGAGTAATTAAGAAGTTTGATCTTTTTATCATGGTTGCTTCAAGAAGCTATTTTCATTTTGTCTGCTTTTGATAAATTTGTATCACGCATTCTACTAAGTAGCAGTATAAATCGAAGCTAGCAGTATTAACTGTTTGTCTACCTCACAACCAACAGACTAAAGTATAGCACTAAGAGACTGGTTTAATTATTTTGCCCTCTTTCTCCTCAAAAAATCAGGGGTGAGGGCATTAAGGATAATTATTACTGAGGAGAAATTCTTTTTTAAATTTTAATAAATCATTTAATTGAGGGCTCTTACAGCTCTTATAACAATCCATACATCAATTATATCAAGCACATTTGTACATATGTTGCCGTCATCATTTCCAAGACATTTTCTTTCTACTTGAGCCCTTGGTAGCAGTTCTTTTTTCCCATCCATTCCCCACCCTTCCATCCTCGTGAACCCTTGATAATTTATAAATTATTTTTATTTTCATATTTTACACTGTCCACTGTCTCCCTTTGCCCATTTTTTTCTGTTGTTCATTCCCAGGGTACATCAATCATTGTGATCAGTTCCCGTCACATTTTCCCTACTCTCATGGTATCGCTACTCTCATTATTGATCCTGAGGGGTTTATCTGTCCTGGATTCTGTGTGTTGAGAGCGCTTAACTGTACCAGTGTACATGCTCTGATCTAGTCAGGTTTGTAAGATAGAAGTAGGCTCATGATAGTTTGTGTGTGGGGGTGGGTGTTTCATCAGTGCTATAGTGCACCCTGGTTGGCTCACCCCTTCCTTGTGACCCTTCTGTGAGGGGATGTCCAATTGTCTACAGATGAGCTTTGGTTCTCCATTCTGACCCCACCTCGTTTGCATAAAAATGGTTGTTTGTTTGGGGTCTTCTGATGCCTGATACCTGATCCCATGGATACCTCATGATCACATGGGTTGGTGTGCTTCTTCAATGTGTGTTTTGTTGCTTCCCTGCTAGATGGCTACTTGTTTAACTTCAAGCCTTTAAGACTCCAGACACTGTGTCTTGTAATGACTAGGCACCATCAGCTATCTTCACCACATTTGCTTTTGCACCCATCTTGTCTCAGCGATTGTGTCAGGAAGGTGAGCATCACAGATGGCCAGCATATTAGAACAAAATGTTCTTATGTTGAGGAGGACTTGAGTAGAGGCCCAATGTCCATCTGCTGCCTTATACTTAACCTATAAATATATGTACATAGACTTATATACCTATCATTATATATTAATATATTTACATATGTACTTGCCTGTATTTATAACTCTCTAAATGTCTTGTCTCATATTTCTTTCCTCTATTTCCTTTTACTTTCCTTGGGTTCTCTGTACTTCTTCTTGACTACATTGCACTTGATCGAACCCCACCAGGCATTCTATACCCTCCTCACCATCAATTTTAGATCTCTTGTTGTTCCCTTGCCCCTGGGTTCGTTGGCTCCCCACTCCCTTTTCCCCACATCCTCCTCTCCTCTGTTCCCCCACCCACCCAAACCATCAGTCCCATTGTTTTCTTGAGGAGAAGTTGTCAATTTACTTCTTTAATTCTTCATATTGGTGAATAGCTAACCAACTCCTCCAGCTAATGATGCAATTTCCACTTTCATCTGTTTGTATAGACATGACCAATGATAAAATTTACAGAAATCCAGTTTGTACCCAGATAAATGAATCATGGGAAAACCAAGTGTTTGGGATGTCTATATTTCCCATCCTGTTCCACTGAATTTTCCGTCAAAGACTTGAGAAAGAGGCAGGATTCCAGACAACATCTGAAGAAGAAAAAAAGAAAGCAGACATCCAAAGTACTTGCCAGAAACAGGTGGTTCTCACTCATCCCTTATGCATGGAAAAGGATGCTTGCTGTGGCCCATCTCCTCCTAACAAACTCCAGTCTCAATTACCCTGCAGGCAGAGTCTTCCAGACTTTTTCCATTACGACTTTTCTCCTGCTTGTTTGCTTTTCATAAGCCAGGTGGATCGTTTCCCAGGTTAGGGTTTTCAGATATTTGCATAACATTTTCCATGATTACCTTTGTGACCTTTCCAAAGACAAGGACAGTCTCCCGGCCAGCAATATGGGGGAAGGGGAGTCTAGACCAGGGAAGTCTTGACTGTTCACAAAAAGCCGAAAGACTATGAGGAGTGTTGAGAACAGGTTATAATTCACCCCAACCCCTTCCAAAATAACAGAAATCATGGTCTATTGTTAAAACCAGATTGGCCACCGTGAGGTCTTGATTTCCTCTGTCAATCTCTGTCTCACCACCACCCTAAATGATCGCAGCAGCTGTTATCCTGAACCAAAGCTTCAGTTCTTTCAACTCTGTTTCAACACAGAGAAGACCCAGGAAAGCAGGGCCATGGGAAAGTGAAGGACCCTCTTTAACCTGGGTTACTTGGATCTTTCTCTCCTGCAGGTGAATAGGGATATTGTGTCAGGCCTGAAATATGTTCAGCACACCTACCGGACTGGGGTGAAAGGTAAGGACCTGATAGTTTACTGTCTTAAACTCTGATACCCACTAATACTTAAACTTCAGGTGATGAATTTATAAACCGTATTAGGATCTGATCAAAGCTTTGGACCTCCACCTAAGGAAAGGGCAAACATACTCCTCAGACTGAGATATTAATGAAGGGCTGGAAGATTATCGTTCAGTAGACCTAGTTAAGTCTTTGGTGAGCCACTAACCACAGGCATCAGCTTCTGGAATTAAGTTTTATTATTAATAAATAAGAAGAGTGACCAAGATAAATTTAAGTGCCATAAAACATAAAAGTACTTCCAAGCATTACAGTATGACTTATAATCATCAAACCTAAGAGTCAGAGAAATCCATGACAGCGAACAAAGACCAGCTCCATCGTATGTGGGAGTTGGTATGTGTGCTCTATTTCTTAGCAAAGAAAGAAAAAAATGCTTCTCCTAGGATTGAGAACATTTGTCTGTTTGCAACAGAGAAAACAGCTTTGCCTAATATGCAGCTGTTCTCAACAAGTAGCACCTACACTGTACATGCCACAGGCAGCGGCCTTCGTTTCTCTTCCGTCATACAGACAGAGAATTGAGAGGGGGGTGGGTGATAGCACAGTTTTTACACTTACCTCTTACCTGAAAGGCTCTCCAAGGTAGTAAAACAGTATTGCACAGAGCAGTTCTACAACATTAATAAAAGATAGACAAAAGTTGTTTGAGATTAATTTGTCACTAAAGGCTTCGAGTTCATTTCAATTTTATTTTTCCTCCTCTTTCTTTAAAGTCACTCAAAGCACTATTTAGGTTTGAGGAATAAGGAATCTGGAGGGTTTGGGGGGCTGTTTTTTAAGGGGGAGTTTAAAGAAGCATGCTATGTATATATACACAGCCCAACTCAAGAAATGAAATCAACAATATCCTATCAAACCCTTCATATATGTGTAAGTTTATTTGTTTCATCCCCCACAAAATCCCTCTCCTATCCCCGTTTCCACCATATGGCAGGAGGCAGGGGTTGATAAATTAGTTCAACAGAGACCACTCAATTATTCAAATGTCAGAAATACTGTTAGCCTGAAAGATCTTAATTAGCCTTTGCAGTATCTAGTCTCCTGAAAAATCGTTTAATCTCTTATTTTCCTTTGAGCATAGTATGTGACTCAAACTTATTAATAACACATTAAGCCTAACTATGCACTAGCCTAATTACATTTACCTATGCTTCCCATTCCATACTATTCTTAAGATACACTGTATTTTTTTACATACGGCCCCACCAAAAAGATCCCATTGCCATCTAGCTTATTATTATAGTTATTATAGCCATCTAGGTATTATATGTGATTATTTCACATTTAGCCCAACCAAAAAGAACCCATTGCCATCTAGGTCACTCATAGTGACCCTGCAAAAGGTTTCCAAGACTGTAAGCCTTCTTAAAGGCAGATAGCTTCATCTCTATCCCAAAGAGTAACTAGTAGATTTGAACCACCAATCCTAAAGCTAGCAGCCCAACACCTAACCCACAATGAAACTACAAGACTCCCATGTAAATAATGTGCACATGCATAGAGCACACATAGCACTGTAGAGGGATGATTTCAAGGACTAATCAGTTTGTAAAACCTATGTAATGTGTTTATCATTTGCATGAAATATTTTTTCCTGCTTATTCATTATGACTATGTTAGGTGGGCTAATTGAACCATTTGTCCCAGTTCTTCATCTTTTTTTAACCAATTTATCAAATGCCCTTCCATTCAATTATTTTCTCAATTAATTCTGTCCATCCTGATAGTTACTATTACTTGATCAATCTGTATAGTTTTAAAAATGCATAAGCAGAAGATCTTTGTGTGAGTCTGGGTAGACTAGAGAAACAAAATTCATAGACACTCATATTTTATAAGAGAGTTTTATATAAAGGGTAAGTGTACATTAAACACACATCCCCACCCAGGGCTGTCCAAGCCCGTAAGTCCGACATTAGCCCATATGTCCAACATTGATCTACAAAGTTCTCCTCAATCTCACAAAACACCTGCAATGACACTGAATGCAGGAGGAAAGCCAAATCAGTGAATGTGTAAGCATCTCAGTTCTGGCAGGGGTCTCCATGCAGCTTCTCCAGCACCCAGGGCTGCATCAGGGTAGGTCCATGTGGCTTCTCCTCGGGGACATCTCCCTGGATGGGAGCCTTGCCAGCTGAGGCAGAGGACTAGCTAAGGCAGCCGCACACTGATCTGACCATCAGAGAACAAGAGACAAGGCAGGCGAGGCTCACCAAGCCATTTATTTCTCTGCCCTTTAATTAATCCCACATGTGTTCATCGGCCAGGTTGGCACAATAAACCTTAACTATCACAATCTTTAAAGTTCGTTATACAGAGATTAAAATTAAATACATTGTTGGTTATGTAATTTAGGTAGACGTAGAACTAAATCCAGAATCCAAGTCTCTACTGGAATTATTTTTAATGGTACAGTCTGTTTAAAATAAGAAATGGAGGCAAGCAGCTGCTGTTGAGTCCATCACAACTCAAGGCAGCCCTGTGCGTCTCCGAGAGAGCTGCGCTCTGTAGGGCTTTCATGGCTCATTCTTTGTCCAGAGTAGCTTAACAGGCTTTTCTTCCTGGACATTTTTGGGTGGACTCAAACCACCAACCTTTAGGTTATCAGTCAGGGGCATTAACCATTTCTACTGCCATATCTTCATAAAAAGAGCTTGGATCCCCACTGATTTGGTGCATTGGGTCATGAATTTTCTCAGCACTCAAAAGCAGCTGTGATACTTTAAAACAACAACAACAATGATTGGTGCCCATGGCAGATTACCGAGCCATAGTTTCTGGGATTGGGGAAAGGAAATGTATGGAAAGGTACAACCAAAATCAAAAGGAAAGGTGCTGCAGTCAAATCCAATGTTAAGCCAGCCTTGGAAGTATGGCCCTTGTCTTTCTGCAGGGTGAGATTCTCCCATTGGAAGTTTGTGCATCGTCTCCCGTACACTCTTTCCCTAACGCACTGTCCTTTCTTCCTAGTGGATAAGGCAACGTTTATGGTTGGCAGCTATGGGCCCCGGCCTGAGGAGTACGAGTTCCTGACTCCAACAGAGGAGGCTCCGAAGGGCATGCTGGCCCGGGGCACTTACCACAACAAGTCTTTCTTCACCGATGATGACAAGCATGACCACCTGACCTGGGAGTGGAACCTGTCCATTAAGAAGGAGTGGACAGATTAAGAGCGCCTGCCCATCCCTCTTCTGACCTAGAAGGATCCCGTCATCCTCCCTCACTCCTCACTGTTCACAGCTGGGCCCTTTCCCAACACTCCCCCATAACCTCTCATTGCAGCATCTTATCGCCCACTGCCTTGAAATCAGTTCCCAGCACAAGTGGCTTCAACCGACCTAAGCCAAACAACCCAAGCTTCAACCTTGCCTACTCCCTGATTCCCATCAGGGTGATCTCTTCAAAGTTCTCTATCTCAGTGCATAGCCATTGAATGACCTCTTGTCTTATTTCCATCTGAGCAACTAGAGGACAGGAAGTGGATATATACTCTCATTAGCAATACTTTAGTCTTAGATCCCAGTAGCCCCTTCCACCCCTGCATTCTTCTACGGTAGCTGCTGGCTCAAGGAAGGTCCCTAATCACATTCCCTATAAGTTGGGGCTCTCCCTTCTTTTGTGGGAGACACTGTAAATGGCACGAGAGGAAGAATAAAAGAAAGATCTGTGTATTATGACTGAGACCCTTATTTCTCTGCTTTATGCTTTGGAACACACATGTTGGCTGGATGGTTCACTGTCACATGTCCCCCCCAAGGGGTCAGGAGTGGGGGTGTCACAGTAGAGAAGGGAGCAACATCAATGAGAACAGATCAGTCCCCCTTTCCAGTGAAATGGTCAGTAAGCATTCAGATTAATGAATGATAGAAAAATCTCTCAGTCTGTTTCTCTATCCAGTCTGTCTGTCCCCCATGCTTCTCTCTCTCTCTCCTTCTCTCTCCTTTGCTCCTTCCCTCCCTTCCTCTCTCAGCATTAGCATGAAAAAGTTTCTCCTGTTTAAAACTTACATATGTCACTGCCTGCAAGGAATCGTGACTTGCGTTTCCCACATCCACGTGAGAGTCCAATCACACAATGTGTGTCTCCTGTGAAGGAATCCAAAGTAGGTTTCCATGACCTATAGAATGAAGTAGAAGACGCTGTGTGTGGCATATGTGGCCTGCTATTAGCTGACCACGGGGTGCTTTTCCAGCAGCATTCTCCGGTCCCTTATTGTTATTGTTAATTTTTAATGTTGAATCATTTAATCTTCTCTCAGAGATTACACTGACATCCTTGAACTTTGGCTCAGCTCTATATATGAAACTCCCTTCCACCTTTTGTTGACTGGCAAATCACATTTCCCCAGGACTCTGCTTGGGCCTCCCCTGCAGGAAGAAAGCCTTCATTAAACCCAATTGTTCTAACTACTCCTTGTCCATTCTCTCATGGCCCCCCATGAGTTTCTCTACTTTTATCACTTTGCATAATATAAGCATATATATTTTTAACTTTTTATTGTGAAATGGGTAAAGGTTTACAGGGGAGATCAACGGTGATGCCTTCAACAATGCGCTGCTTCGTCTTAATGCAAACCTCTCCAGAGGACACCAGTCATCCCACCTCCTCCCAGGGCTTCCCCTCCCCCCTCTTTCCTAGCTCCTCACCCTTCAGAACTGTCCTTGGGTGAATGCTGCCCCCTGGATCTCAAAGGGTTGATTATTCTAAGGTGTGTGGACCTTACTAGGATTAGTTTTCCCCTTACAGATCTGTCTGTTATTTGGCTAAAAAGTTCACCACACGGGGGATTTCAATCCAAACCTGGAAGTTGATTAAGGGCCATCGTCTTGGGAGTTCCGCGAGTCTCTATTGAGCCAGTAAGCCTGGCTTGCTTTTGTATTTCACACTTAAATGATCTGTTCTTATGTCTAGCTCTCCCACTAAAAAAGTGAGCTAGGAGCAGCTGCCTCTGATCACAGTTGTCTCGGTATCCATAGCACTTAGGTCAATATTTGGCATATGATACTCAGAAGGTTTCTATTTAAATAAATTGACCTGACTTTCAGATGGTTGGTTTTGTTCTGAGGCCCAGTCAAGGAAATCGGTCTTTTATCTCAGAAGTTGAAGGTTCCCCTAGAGCCAGCTTGCAAAGTTCCCAGAACACCAATAACATCAAGCCAATTAGCTACAGAGTGGGCTGCCCGGAGTCTCAAGCACGAAGGTCAGGAGAAACGCCATGGGAGCGCCTCAGTCCACATGGCTGTTTGTCTTATTGCTCCTCACACAGGGGCTCCCTCCAAGAGTTGCTGCCGAAGGTCCAGAATCCTCAGGTAAAAGAAAAGAGTACTTGAGTAATTATTGGAAGCGATTGCTGTTGGGAGAAGTGGGGGGTGGGGTGGGGGTGGGAACGGGGTGTGGAGAAGACGGCAGTATTCTGGATACACCTTTGCCAAGCATAGCAAATATTTCGGGAAATGCTGAAAAAAAGACGTATGTTGCCTACTGTAAAGAGGGAAGTATGGCACTATCCTTTAGAGACAAGTCATAAGGTCGGGCCATCCTCCATGGTACTTAAAAAACAAAACAAAATGCGGGGGCTTGGAAGAATATCAGTAACTCTAGAAACTGATCTTCCTGGCCTCAGAAAGGGGAACAATGGTATCAGTTCATTTCCCTTTCCTGTCAGCACCCCAACACCTTCTGCTTCTCTCTCCCCCTCTCTCTAGATGGCCCCAGCTCCGGCCAAGAGCCCGTGTGGCTCACAGATGTCCCGACTGCTGTGGAATTCATTGCTGCTGCTGAAGTGGCTGTCATAGGCTTCTTCCAGGTTGGTCCAGATGCCTCCCTTGCTAGCTGGCCAACAAGCTAAAATGTTCTATCTCAAGGGAGCCTTGTCAGGTGCTTTCTGACCAGATGGGGCTACAGTAGAAGCAGTTGGTCACAGGTACTTCAGCACAGTGCCTGCTTTGGGCTCATCAGTCAAGTCTCTCTTTAAGAACAACATTCTTAGCTCCTAAATTCTGCCTCCATTGTATTTCCTTCAAAAGCTCTGAGGCCCATGCTTTAGTCTCTTATGGATTTCTCGAAGCTTTTGCCATCTGGCTTTGCTGAAGCGGGCCTGAGTGAACCAACTTTTTTCACTCAGGCAATACTCTGTGGTGTGCTGCAAGCCCCTGGGCATTAGGCAATCTCCTTCCTGCCTACAGTCTTTCTCCAAATGGCTTGTCCCTTTTCCCTTTGTCTCCCGCCAGCTCGGACATGTTGAAAGGGAAAGCGCTTTGCACCTCGAAAGGTGTTAGCCTCCGTTTTCCAGACTGGCTGCCTGGCTGGTAAAGACAGCCATACAGAGAGAGCACCATTTCCAGATGGTCTGCTCTCTCGGGTGGGAGCATCCGTTGATGAAGGCCCTGTTCCCTCATTGCAGTCCTTGGCTGTGTTCATTCCTTCGTTCCAACTGCCCACTCCCACCGTCGGCGCCGTGTACACAGCTGGAAATCGCTGCTGTGAGCTGCCAGTGGGAGAGGAAGACGGAGCACATTTGTCAGTGATGAGTGAGCTGAGCTGTAGACAAAGCAACACCCTCTGGAAGGCAGGGCGGGGCAAGAAAGGAAGGCAGGAGGAGCCTGCAATACTTTAAATCATCGCCAGACGCCTTCTGCGGATCCACGAGTAATTCCATTTGAAGGAACAGAACAGAAAAAAAAAAAAAATAATAATAAGGCAGCCTTGATCAGCAATTGTTCATACCCTCAAATGAGCTCCACACAGTCCTGGAGTTCAGGCCTTTTAGACGAGCAAGGGCCAGCTCCTTCTGCTTGATGGCAGATGCCGGCATTGGTAACGAATGCCATTCGAGTTCATTTTGACTCCTGGAAACCCCATATGTGTCAGAGCAGAACTGTGTTCTGTGGGGTTTCTAACAGCTAAGTGTTTGGAGAAGCAGAAGGCCAGGCTTTTCTTTCGAGGCACCTCTAGTTGGACTCAAATCCCCTCCTTTTCCGTTAGCAGGCCAGCACATTAACCCTTGCACCCAAGGATTCGGATGCAAGACCAGTTGTCTTCGTGTCTCTTAACATCTCTTCTTCTCTTTCAGTCCAAAGAGATATCAGGGAAGGATACAGTCCCTCCTGTTACTGCCGAGAATTATGGGAATATCTTAGTATGGCAGGGACGATGATGCCACAAGGTGCTGCTTAAGGACTGAAATCATGACTCGCACATGGTTGCCCTGCACCTTCCAAAGGCCTGACATGTTTAGCCTGGGCAATGCATGAGCAGTATGTCCAAGGACAATGTCACAGGTTTATGTGTGGCAGATGAGATGATCCTGCACATGCCAAACAACCCATTATGAACAAGACTTTTTTCCTTCTATCTTTTGTTTTGTTTATCCTTCTTTTCCTGGACCTTTTGACAACTCCTAATTCTTATGTTTGCATCTTTTCATTCCTGTAAAAATTGCTTCCCCAAAATCTACTGCCTTGGATGTGTTAATGGGAGCCCTTTGGGCAAAGTGGTAACACTTTGGGCTGCTCACTTCAAGGACAACAGTTCAAAATCATCAGCCACTTCGTGGGAGAAAGATGAGACTTTCTACTACCACGAAAATTTACCGTCTCAGAAACTCACGGGGCAGCTCTGTACAGCCCTATAGGGTCGCTAAGAGTCAGAGTGGACTTGATAGCAGTGAGTTTGGGTTGGGGTTTAGGTGTATAAACAAACAAAACCAAGCCCACCTGCAGGTGGTTTGGGCTCATCACAACTCTCTAAGACAGTTGTATTGCTCCTTGGGGTTTCCAAGGCTGTACCTCTTTCTGGGAGTAAACAGCCTCCCTTTTCTCCCCCAGAACAACTGGTAGGTTCCAACTGCTGACCTTGCGATTGGCAGCCCAAGCAAGAAACCCACTGTGCCACCTGGGTCCCTTTATATCAATGACAGGGCAGTCCAGTGCTCCAGGCTCTGAACTCTGAGGCTCCTCTCCTACTGGTGAGGTTACGGGGAGGCCATGGAGGAGTCCACGTAGCCTGGGAAGTTCAGGAATGGCACTGCCAGCTTAGCCTGCATCCTAAGACCTAGACGTTGCTTCGCTGGATGCTAACCCAAGTCTATGTTTTGTGATATGATTGAGCCCATTTCTCATCTTTATTCTGTTTTTATGTCTAGGTCTCTCCTTTCCAAAATAACCTCTGTGTTTTTTGTTTGTTTTTTTCTCTTGCTTTTAGGATTTGGAAATACCAGCAGTCTCTGTATTTCATAGTATGGTGAAGCAATTCCAAGACGTAGCCTTTGGAGTTAGCACAAATTCTGAGGTTCTGACCCATTACAACATCACTGGAAACACCATTTCCCTCTTTCGTCTGGTAAGTTGGCTGGGCCTCTTGACACTTCTTGTTTTCCCCTTCGTCTGTGGAATTGCAAATTAGAGTGCAGACATCCTATCTGGTTCATTCTAGTGTTACTCTGCACCCACCACTCTGAAAATTGGCATTTCCACCCAGATATGCCACTCCAGGTCTACATTGAAATAAGATCCCTCCAGTAAGTCTTATGGATCTCTGAGGGTGCACACGTCTGCATGTGTAAGAATCACCTGGGGGATGTGTGGAAACGCAGAGCCTCTTTTAGTACTGCTGGGATGGAAACGCAAGCCCTCAGCAGGGGGTCATGCTGGAATTAGTCCTTTTGCAGGCCTCTATTGGAGACTGAGAAGGACTGTGTCTCTAACACCAGTGTGAATGCCAGACATTGACAGTGATGATGATTTCACTCAGTCTTCCCAAGCAGCTGCTGCATTGAAATGGAGATGGTGAGGTTGGAAGCACTGCTTCCTCCTTACCCAGTCATGTGACTTTGCGGAAGTCACTTAACATGTTTAGCCTCAATTCTTTCATCCATAAAATAAAATAGGTAGAATCATCTCTGAGGTCCTTTCCAATTCTGAAATATTATATCCTTAATAGCTTTGGAAGTATATCTTATATGTAATCAATAGTGGTTAAATAACAACTGTGTGCAGTAGATAAGATAGTAATAATAAAGACATGCTAAATATATGCTCCACTGACCGATCTGAAAATAGAGTTGTTGTTAGTTGCTGTTGAGTCTGCTCTGACTCATGGTGGCCTTCCTGTATAACTGTAAATATAATGCCCAAGTATCTCTAATACAAAGAGCACCACGGTGATTAGGGTCAATGGATAGAAATGTAGACATTCTGAAGAAAAGATCTTTGCAGAGTAGACAAGTAAACTGGGCCTTAAAAGATAAATAAAATTTAGACCTAGTATAGGAGAATTGATGGCTAGGATGGGGGAAAAATACAACTTAATAAGGAAACAATGCTCCGGCTAATTTGACTGGATGCCTGAACCAACATGTCTGAGGGACATTACTAGAAGAGGGAGAAGCTTGACTATACCCCTATTGTGAATAAGTTGTTGGGTTGGCACTAAATTTGATTGGCCCTAGAAGCCTTCAATACCTTTAGATAAGGAGAGTAACACAAATAGGAATATGTTTCAGCAGAGCTGGATGGATTGTTAGGCAAAAAAACAAAAAACCACAAGAAATGGCAAGAACGTTGGTTAGGGTGGAAAAATGGGCCCTCAAGACGTCGGACAGTGTAAGATATGACAAAATAATAATTTCTAAATTATCGAGGGTTTGTGAGGAAGTGGGGAGCAGGGAGGGAGGGGGGAAATGGTGCCAGGGGCTTACTGGAGAACAAATGTTTCGAGAATTATGAGGGCAATGAATCTACCTATGTGCTTTACACAATTGATGTGTGTATGGATTGTGATAAGAGTTGTATGAGCCCCCAATAAAATGATTTTTTTAAAAAAAGAAAAATGGACCCTCTGACAGGCCAGCCAATGTAGCAAAAGTATGAAAATGAGCCAAAGTTTAAAGCCAAGTTGTGTAGAAAGAGTACGGCCATTTATAGGAGGAACAAAAGTATTTCTGATGTGTAGTTTTGTTGTTGAGTGCAATATGGAGGTCAATACTCACGCTGGAGTACTGTTCAGCCATCTCTGTTGTAAAGCTAATTCTGATGTAAGTCTAATACCTTTGATCCTAGTTTTCATTATGATTGTCTTTTATTGTCATTGTCTTTATGAATCTGATTTTTCTTTGCTTTGGGGGTTGGAAGCTTTGCATACAAATTTACATATATTTTTCAATACATACATAAAACACCCAAATAATATAAATTAGCAATGCTCTTTAGTGTGGTTTGTCAGAACTAGAATATATGCTAAGTCAAGAATGACTGGTACGTGTGGGGCCGGCCCTAATCCCAACTATGTGGAACCTGCCCCCCCCCCCAAAAGAATGCACCTCAGAGGACAGCACTGACACTACAGCATGGGGAGAAGGCACGTCTGATTAGAGCACACAGGAGAAACAAAGAAGGATGGAGAAGGAGGATGGAGAAGGAGGATGGAACTGGCCCACCAAGCTCCAAGGACAATATTCCTGCTTATAGCAGACAATGCACAGAGAGGACCATAGGGCTGGTCCCACCACAAGACACAACGCCCCTCACTGAACCATAGTGCTACAGAGGACAACACTGGAGACAGTGCGGGAATTGTGTTCAATCTGGCCCCATCACACTGGGGCAAGACACTAAGGATATGCAACAGAGTAACAAGGGGAGCAAAGTGATGAAATCCTCAGGGACTACCAAAAATAGACTTTAGAGATAATGTGGCACCCCATCAGACTCAACTGGAAAACACTTGTAAAGGCCAACAAACAGACCTTGAACTATTTATAGGCTTTTCCATTTTTGTCAGTGGCTTTCTTTTTGTTATTTTGTTTGGGGGTTTTTAGTTGTTGTTATTGTTTTGTTAGTATTGACTTCCTTTGTTGTTTTGTTTGGCTTTGCCTGGTTTTTGCACTTATTAATGTCTCTGCATGTCTACCCAGGACAGATAAACCTCTCAGGACCAATATTGAGAGTAGCCATACCAGGAAGGTAAAGGGAAGGTGGGGGAAGAAAGAGGGAGCCAATCACAATCCCCTACATATAACCCTCTCCCAGGGGGATGGACAACAGAAAAGTGGGTGAAGGGAGACATTGGTTAGTGTAAGACATGAAAAAATAATAATTTATAAATTATCAAGGGTTCATGATGGAGGGAGGGGGAAAAATGAGAAGCTGTTACCAAGGGCCCAAGTAGTAAGAAAATGTTTTGAAAATGATGATGGCAGCAAACGTACAAATGTGCTTGACACAATGGATAGATGGATGGATTGTGATAAGAGTGTATGAACTCCCAAAAAATGATTAAAAAAGAAGAAGAATGACTGGTATGTCAAAAGTCCTCTAGAAATGAGAAGTTGAGGTAGAATATAAAGATTTCTACAGTGACTGTCCTTTTTCTTCTCTCCCTCTCTTTCACATCTTATTTGTACCTTTGTAAAAGACATGCTTTGAAAGATATTGCTCTTTTATGCTCTGAAATACATGGTATATCCAAGATACTTATATATTATATATGAAGTCTTCCATGATTCACCCACCAGTCCCTTGTCCCGCCAGTTCTCAACCTGGGTTTCACCCAGTTATACGCATTATGATGCAGACATTATAATTCATGATCTTGCCTCTTCCTAGAACTCCACCACCTCCAACTTCCCCTTTTTACCTGTCATCACCCAGTTCATTCCTACCGCAGTGAACCGGTTCAGACATCTTATTCTTCAGAAAGCATCCCTGGAAGAATCCCCAAATTGATATAAATAGTCCTCTGTGCTTCCCTCTCTCTCTTGTCTTTGGTTGTCTTTGTTAGGTGCCATCCAGGCAGTTCTGACTCCCAGTGACCCTATGCCCACCAGAACGAGACACTGTCGCTCTGCGCCAGCCTCCCCATTGTTCCCAGGCATGAGCCCATGGTGGCAGCCATTGTGTCAATCCACCTTGTGAAGGCCCTCATTTCATTTTCACCTTACCGTGCATAACGTGTATATGTCTTTGTTTTTCACTTTGTTTTATTGAGCTTTGCAGGGGCTCTCATTTGTTTTTTTTAATGGGAAGGTTTATGGCCTCCCTGCATCAAGCGCATCCGAAAAACTAAAAAACCTCATTGCCCTCCAGTCAATTCTGACTCGCAGCGACCCTATAGCAAGTCTGTGGGTAGCATTTCTCCAACCCGAGGTGCTCACTTCATGTCTATATGTCACATTTTAGACATTATCATAATATTTCAAACTTTTTTTTTTTGAATGCTCTTGCAAACTTAGTAAACTACAGTATAGGGAAAACCACTGTGTGCCCTGGGAAACCAAGACCTCCATGGACTCGCTTTATTGCGATGCCCACTTTATTGCGCTAGCCTGGACCCAACCCTGCAATAGCTCTGTACTTCCTCAGACATTGATCTGTTCAAGGGCAGACCTCTGACATATTCATCTCTGTGTTCTGAAAGTCTCTAAT